CCGGACTAAGACGGTGTGTACAGAGGTGTCTGCAGAGGTGTGTACAGAGGTGTGTACAGAAGTGTGTACAGAGGTGTGTACAGAGGTGTTCACAGAGGTGTGTACAGAAGTGTGTACAGAGGTGTGTACAGAGGTGTGTACAGAGGTGTGTACAGAAGTGTCTGCAGAGGTGTGTACAGAGGTGTTCACAGAGGTGTCTGCAGAGGTGTGTACAGAGGTGTTCACAGAAGTGTGTACAGAGGTGTTCACAGAGGTGTGTACAGAGGTGTGTACAGAGGTGTTCACAGAGGTGTGTACAGAGGTGTCTGCAGAGGTGTGTACAGAGGTGTGTACAGAGTCTCTGTCGACGTGTTTGTGGAGGTGTCGGCTCGCCTGCTTCCAGCCCGACTCGTCGAGCTCTGCGTCGAGGTCCTGCATTCAGAGTCCCTCCTCAGTCCGCGACTCGGCCTCCCTCAGAGAGCGGCCTGCTTCGCCGCGCTCCTCCATGTCGGAGTCTCGCGCATACCGCGCGTAGTCCTTGCGGAGGGTGCGGAGCAGGATGAGCGAGACGATGCCGGTGAGGAAGAGGACCTGACACGAGGCGCAGCGGAGGCCGCCGTGAGGCAACTCTTTGCTTCTCCGCCCAGCTGGGCGGAGGCGGAGGCTGGGCGGAGGCGGAGGCTGGGCGGAGGCGGAGGCTGGGCGGCGGCGGGCGGGGCTTGCGGCGCCATCATGAAGGAGTTGAAGATGGAGAACCAGTGGATCTGGTGCTCGAAGAAGTCGTAGTCGAGGTAGCGGTCGAAGCGCTTCGAGAAGGGCGTCTCCGTCTCCGTCCACTCGACAGAGTACGACAGGTCGACCTTTGCGCCCGCGTGCAGCGCGACCGGGTTCTCCGACGTCAGGTTGACTTGGATGATGCGAGGGCCTGCAGCAGGAAGAGGGACCGCCGCGTCAGGGCGTGCTCCGCGGCAGGGCCCGGCGCATTCTCCCGCCGCGAGCGCCGTTGTACGAGATCGAGAACCGCCTACACACTCAATGAGCCCGTGGGTCGGCGGCGGGCGGTGAACCGCAATCCGGCGGGCGGCAGAGCGAGAGCGCTTGTGCGTGAAGAGGAGCGCCTCGGCCTGCGACTCGTCCTCGTCGCTGTCCGAGGTGGTGAGCTCGCCCACCATCCCCCAGATGGGAAGGTCGTCGAGGTACCATTGGTACCAGTAGTGATTGTGAATCGCAAAGCTGAGCTGAGCCGCGCTCTCCTCGTCCAGCTCCATGGAGCAGACCTTGGTGTGGTCGGGCACCGGCTCGCGAAAGCGCAGCTCGAAGCCGCTCGCGATGAGGTCGTTCCCCTCCAGCACCTCACCGAGCCAGTCGTACCGGTGCTCCAGCTTCTCGACTGGAAAGCTGCTGCAAAAAGGGAGCGAGTAGAACGTGTACGTCTCCTGCGGGTTGTGGTAAGGCCCCACCTTGTTGACCCACAGATGGGTGGCCTCGCTCGTTTGGTAAAGGTGGGTATACTCATCCGCCCGAGCTAAGCAGACGAACGCAAGCGTGACGAGTCTCATGCCGGCGCTGCGCTGCTGGCCCCCCGGGCCAAAAGAAAACGCGAGCGGTTACAAAGAAACTCCCTCGCAGGACACTAGGCACGGACTGGCGCGCACTGGCACTAACACAGGTACACCACGGGCAAAAAGAATTCTCGCGCGCTCATCGCAGGCTGCTGGCTCAGACTGGCGCCCAAGCGCCAAGGGCCAAGGGTGGGCGACGCCGACGGCTAGCGCATCACACACCTCTCCTTAAAATCCCTGTGTGGTGGCGGCGTGCCGTCCTCCCATCCCTCCCTTGCCTTGTCTGTTTTCTTTCTTTCTTTCTGGCTCAGACTCCGAGACTGGCACTAGCCACTACAAAAGGCACAGCAAAAAGAAAAAGAATGGCCTCCTGGTGTCCAGTCCGAGCCTGACTGTTCTTCGCCTTCCTATCAACGCCCCCTGGTCACAGGCTCATGGTGTGCTCGCCAGGGGGGCGGCCTGCGGCCGATCCGGCGGCGAGGTAGCGCCGCATCGCATCCTCCGCCTGGAAGCTGCGGAAGACGAGCCCGTCCACGAGCGTCGCCTCGACCGGAGGGGAGGACGAGGCGGGCTCGTCCGGCCCACCACCGGGTGCGCGGCTCTCCGGGGTGCCGCACTGCCGTTTCCGGCCTGCGCCTAGGCCCAGGCGCGGCGGGAGCGCGCAGTGCCCGGGTCAGTCGCTGCGGCGCCTTGGCGGCCAGTCGCATGGCCGGTGTCGGTCACGTAGAGAACGGCTTCATCGGGCGAGAAGGCCAGACCGTTCGGCTTGACGAAGCCGTCCGCCACAACCTCCATCGCGCCAGACACGGAGTCATGCCGCCATACCCAGTCGCCCAGCACCGGGGGATCTCGCACCCCCTGCGCGGCCGCGTACGATGGGTCTGTGAACCAGACGCTGCCATCCTGCCGCACGGCGACGTCAAATGGCGAGTTCAAGGGCTGGTTGTCCGACCAGCTCGTCGCGACCTCTCTCCAGTCTGAGTTCCGGATCACAGCGCCGCTGCCGCCCCGCAACTCGCACGAATAGATGCCTGCCCGGTGCTTCCGCTCACCTGATGCGGAGCCGTTTGTGCTTGGACTCTGTCGACCACCTTCGCGCCCGAACTTCGCATGGGGTGCGCATTCATCCCACTCCTGTCCCCGCCGTCCCCGCCATCCCCACCATCCCCGCCATCCCCGCCATCCCCGCCACCCCCGCCACCCCCGCAGCCCCCGCCATCCATCCATGCTCCCAGGAAGCCAATGGTGGCGCCCGCACCATCAACGCGCGGGCGCAGAGGCTCTGGACAGTGGCTCTCCAACGGGACGAAGGCAGTCTCAAGTCCCTCTTCCCAAGTTCTCTCTTCACCCCCCCTTAATAACCCATTTTCCTCCTACAGGTCAGGGCGGTCAAGATCGTAAACATGAACATGAACGAACTCTATGCGATGACGCAAATGACCACGGCGGTTTCAATGACCTCCACCCCCCTTCCGATGGTCGAGGAGGCCGCCGAGATGTCGTGA